GAATATTATTGGCAAGGTGATTCATTTGTTAATCCGCAGTGCTATAAATAGTACTTTAACTTAGTTGAATGGAAACCTATCCTTCATATCTCAAGTCACTTGTTTACTCATGTAAAATACATGTGTTTTTGAGTTGGCTTAGGTGTAATCCAGGAAGGGCTAGCAAAGTTCAACGACTCTCCATCACACATTCAAGGCCCTTCAGCTCTCAATTAATGTTGCTGTCCTCTTACGAAGCTGTTCACACGGCTCCATCAATGCATGGACTTGAAGGCAGTAAGAGGCTATTGTAACAGCTCAGCCAGTGTTTCCTCATATCACAGGCCAGTGATAGCAAGCCTCTGGCATCAATACCAAGTTTGGCGCCAACAGATATTTGGTCTGGCACCAGCAATAACAAGCTATGGTGGTTTCTTTTTAAGTTTGTTTGGCACCAGTAGCAAAAAACATTCACTATTCCTGGCAGAAGGCCACAGAATTTCACCAAATGGCTTCTGCATCATAACTTCATAACAAACATAACACAACATAACTTCTAATTGCAGTGGAGCCTGTCTCTGAGCAAGCAATTCCATCCTGACAATTATATCCAGACTTATCAATACCCGTGCTGCCTTCCAATACTAGTTTCTTTCTTACTGTAAGAATAATCTCTTTGAAGAGATCCACAAACCCATAAGTCCATCACCATTTGGGCTTTCTCTCTCTTGGTGCAGTTGTATGAAACGAGGTAATCAGCTATGAGAAAAGCCTATGGGGACAGTTACTAAATTAAGCCATCACAAAATATGTCGTAAATACTCTGTTGACTTAACCTCACTCCTCACCCTGCACTCTTTTATGTCATGTACTGTCTCAGACTGCAGACCTGCAATATATTCCAGGGAGCTTCATCGTATGCCGGTCTGGAGCCCCACTCGAGCCCCTGAGGCTAAACACAGCACTAGTAAAAAGAGAGAATTAGCTATAAATTATCTGGGTCTCAGGACAGAGCAATCTCCATTTTGACAGCTCCTTGCTAAACAGTACAACACTTCTGACAGGGCCTCATGGTGGGTACCTCAGTGGACACAGTGCAGGACAAGGGCTCCGAAGAACTCCGTTCTACTGATAGGGCTGCAACTGGCTTGCCAAATGATTTTCAGCACGACTCCCCTTCACTCCTCTTTGCTTGTAAAATGGGAGAGATCTGAGATCTCTGAGTGGAAAGGATGGTGTAGGAACCCAACATTACTTCTCTGGTACTAAGCATTAGTAACTACAGCAGTAATGTCATCCTTTTCACTGGAGAAAATCTGTCCCTGCCCATTCTGTCACAATCCAGTACACTGTATAAAATAAATTTGCTTAGATGTAGACTTTTTTATAAGACATGAAGTGGGCACAGGGAGGAAGTGATAACTAAGCTCTCGGCATGGGAAAATTGCATTCTGAGCAACAGCTCCCAAGAAAATAAAGACTGTGTGAAACAAAGTTGAAATGGAAGTCCCCATTGTAAATTCAGCTCCTAGTACCTGCCAAAGACATGAGAAAATCTCTGCCCACAAAGAATGGCTGTCCTTGTGAAAAAGTGCAAATCTGTAGCATTCCCAGTGTGGGAATTCATGCAGACATACATTCTACTTCAGTGATCAAACTCTTCCTCTCAAGGTCTAAATGAATTTCCACTAACCTCTTTTCTTACAGCTCAGTCTCTAGCTGGATTTCCTTCAACTATAAAAATATACATACTGCAATTAGCCAGCCTTCACAGACTCTGTAGTTCATTTATGCATGCTAGGCACGTCTCCTGCTGTGAGCAGCCCATCCAAAGAGAACTCTTTGAACTGGTCTATTGTTGCTCGTGTAGAGTATTGCATTGTCCAATTTCATCATTCCTGGCAAGGCAGCGTACTCCTGCAGCTTGCTAAAGGAGGAGGAGAAGAGATGATGAAGCACTTTGTCCAGGTGGTGTGCCGGACATCTCAGATGTACAAATAAGCTTGCCTACCACTAACTATAGGACTTTCCCAGTCACCACAGAGAGACCTTTATTGACCAATTGTGCTTATATGACCTTACCTGGAAGCCCTCTCTTATCTACTTAGTAGTCTGGAGGGACAGAAGGCAGGAAAGATGTTAAGAAGGGATTGGATAAAAAAAAAAAATATTAAAAAAAAAATTCCAAGCAAGACCATGCCACACCTTTGCATGGTGTTTGCTGAACTGTAAAACCAAATAATGGTTTCAAATACCGTGGAGACAACACAACTGGATCAACCAAAAATATACCCACAACCACCAGACAGTGTAGCATTTTGCCACATTTAATAAGTAATATTTTTAGAATTCATAGCTTAAGCAAACCGCAAAGGACTACACTGCCCTACCTCCAAACACCCATTGGCACACTCTTACAATTTCTGAATTACATGAGTCAAATACAACAGAAAATGGGAAGCAAAGTTGAGCATGTGATTTTCAAGCAACCATTCGCGTTTCTCCCCTTTGTCTTTGATTAGGTACTGTTTTGGGTAGGAAAAGAGGGGGTCATATATCAAAAAAAGTCCTGCTCTGCTGCTCTGAAGAGGAAAAGACATTTCATTTTAGAACAAAGAATTAGATTTTTTTTTTTTTACACTGCTTCACTAGAGGTTTTGGGAGATTTTTCTTGGGGTGATGGGGGTGGAGTGTTTGGCTTTGCTATAATACAGCACATCAAAGAGCTTTTGATGTGAAGTTTACTTAACAGAATCAGTTTTTCCGATGATTGTGTTAATCTTTATAAACCTGAAGGCGATACTGTGCCTTTTAAAAAACTATAGCAGGAAAAGACTTGGTTACATATACTCCGAGTGGTGAGAGACAGGAGTAGCTGGACTATTTCGCCACTTCTTACAACTTCGCTCGTCGTTTCACGGGCAGCAATAGCCATGGGCTTGACACCACTCTCACTTGGGCCAGGGAGGCTCGATTTCAACCACGCACAGCCCTTCACACGAGCACCTTCATCTGTGTTCTCGGGTGAGAGCCAGCGCAGGTTTCAAAGGCCAGTTTACAACAGGCGCTCACTCGGAGGCAGCGAAGGGGCCTCGAGACGCAACAAGAATCAGCGCTGGTCTTAGAAAGGCTCCCTGCTCCCAGCCCTTAATAGCTATCTCTGTAATTGTATTATTTTGAGCACAAGCTTCTGTCCCTTCTTAAATCTTGCAAAACCAGCTTTGCCATCCACTCCTAGTCTTGAAGTATGGCTGTGAAAAAGCTTCTGTTATGTCTGACGTGTTTACCTACAGCATTTGAATGACTTTTTAAGTTCTTTGAATAAAGATAAGAGACAATGTGTACATTTTCCACACAAATAGTGGAACGGTAATAAAATAAACATCAAAGGTAAGCTACCAAATCATCGCTACTTCACTGCTATTTACAACAAAAGCAGGAAGAGGAAAAAAAAACTACCCTCACCATTGGCATCATCTTAGAAAATACAAGTTTTGGAAGGAATGATAGCTTTTTCCCATACCCTTGAACATAAACATTGGCACCCACAGCTAATGCAGTGCTTTACTGAAAGATCTCAGTTTACATTACATGGAGACAACAACAACAAGGAACCAAGAGAGGTCTCCCTCCTCTTATTTTTGTCTTTTTGAATTGCCAGCTTTTCCAAACTGGTACAGCTTTACTGAGAAGAGGAAGACATTAAACCTATTATTATTAAAGAAGGACAGAAGAACCCCTCATTGTTCAGTACTTACTAAGATTCATGCAGAATAAAGAAATGGCAAAGCTTTGAAACAAAATGCGAGCGTGTGTGGAAACGTTTATTCTATTCAAGAGACAGAAAGTAGTGATGTTGGTTTCTTGTGTTAGTCTTTTCAACTTGCCTTTTCTCATGTTCCTCTCCAACACTCCTTAAGAGCCAGACCACAACAGCATAGTCCTAACCGGAGTGACTCCACATTAAGCATTTCTTCTAAAATAAGGTCCGATTTAGACAGACTGCTTTTGGAAAATATGGAGCAATCCAACTCTTACTCCAGGACACACAATTCAAAGTGTACATATGAGAAATAAAATATAAGCACCGCACTAGATTTCTGCTGATGTTTTTGTTTTGTTATTGTTTTGCAGACGCTAGCGCTCCTGCTGTATGAAGTCAAATGGCGTTTTGCAACTGGCTTTGAACAGCGAGCAGAATAGGGCTGAACGGGGAGTTTTCAGAGAAGCTACTGCTGTATAGTTCTCTTCCTTGAGTTTTGCTGTCTAGCCTGCTGCTGAAGGAGGCAAAACTGCTGAAGGAGGGTAAGACGTTGACAGCTTAAACCAAAAAACAAATACAAAAATTGCAACTGATTTTTCTAGAAAGAAAAGTGTCTGGCTAAAATTACAGAATACATTTTCTCCCAGGTTTTACGGAAAAGTTATAGATCCACAATGAGCAAACCAAAATGTTAAAGCAAAGTCACTATTTAAAAAACCCCACAGATGTTACTGGAGACCGACAGTTGTAACAGAGAGGTTACAAATGCACCCTCCAGAAGAGATCAAGTGACGCTGCTGTATGCACACTGACACACTTAAAACTAAGGTTAAGGTTTTGAGAAATTCTCTCGTAGCAAAACCCCCAGCATTGCCTACCTGTTCCCATTTTACCCCTGAACCGGCTGTCGTTATGACAGAAGGAGAGAGGGGCCAGGACAGAAACGACTTTTTCAGACTACATAAATCATTAGGAATTCACAACTGTGAAGCCGTGTATTATTTTCCAACAGGTTGTTGAGCTGTCACATTACAACTTGTTGCTATATGCGGCGCTATTAAAATAAATCACTGCATGTAACAGGTTCTGCTCTGCCACCTATAAGTCATTCTGCATTTTACACCTGGGAGGCGGGCCGGGCTCTGCGAAGCCGCGCCGAACTGCGGCTTCATTCGAAATACCCGGGAAGGGGAGGGACCTGGCAAGAGAAAATACAAACAAGTTTCGTAAAATAACTTTCCAACAAGACCTCGCTGTCATCTCAGCTAATTACGGCTCTGATACGGCTTATTAGCGCATACCCACCTTTGCTACCTTGCTTCTCCACCCACCACCCTTTTCAGATCTCTGTCCTGGCTCCGCCTCTCGCCGGCGTTATAATGGGCTGGTCTGAAAGTGGTGGAGAGACACAGAACCACAGGGGAAGAGAGAGATAATGACAATAACACTAATAACCCTAATAACCCGGCTACTGCCCGCGCCGCACCGAGGAGCCGTCCCGGCGCTGAGAGAGGAGTAGCAGCAGCCCCGACGTCCCCGGATTGCTGCTCCCCGCGCCCGGGGATCGCCGGACGGTAACATCGGCCGCACCCCCGAGGAGGACCGGGCTCGGGAGGGTGGGCGGGAGGGACGAGGCGGAGAGGAGCCGGCTCCGCCAGCCGCTCGCACCGGCCCCTCGCCCCTCTCCTCCGGCCCCATGAAGCAGCGAGAGTAACGAGCGAGGAGGACAAAAAGGCGGCGGCGGCGGCGCGGGGGGGGGGGGGGGGTTGGCGGAGAGCGAGCGCCCCGGTGGGGGAGAAGGAGGTGGAAGCCGGAGGAAGCACCCCGACCCCCCCCCGCCTCACCGCCTGCCCTCGGCGCCCTCCGGCGGGGAAGGGGCCGGTCCCCCGCCCGCCACCCCCGGGCGCGGAGCCCCGCTGCCCCGCGCTGCCCGCCGCCGCGGAGCTGTCCGAGCCGGCGCGGGGGTCCAAAAGCCGCTCTCCTTCTCCCCGCGTCCCCTCGCCGCCCCTGAGGCCGCGCCGAGGGGCGGGGGTCGCGCCCGCCCAGCGGAGCCGCGGGGTGCGAGGCGGGGGGGGGGCACCCGCCGCCGCCGCCATGAAGCTGGAGGTGTTCTCGCAGCACTACGAGGACAAGCTGAGCGCCGGCAGCGACCACGAAGGCAGCGGGTCCCTCTCCCCGGCGCCGGCCGAGAGCGAGCTGGGCTCGGACGGCGACTGCGCCGCCAACAGCCCGGGCGGCGGGGCCGGGCGGCCGGGCCCCCCGCCCCCGCCGCCGCCCCCCGCCCCGCAGCCGCCGCCGCCGCCGCCGCCGGCCGAGAGCGCCAAGGGGAAGCCCTACACCCGGCGGCCGAAGCCGCCCTACTCCTACATCGCCCTGATCGCCATGGCCATCCGCGACTCGGCCGGCGGCCGCCTGACCCTGGCCGAGATCAACGACTACCTGATGAGCCGCTTCCCCTTCTTCCGCGGCGCCTACACCGGCTGGCGCAACTCCGTGCGCCACAACCTCTCCCTCAACGACTGCTTCGTCAAGGTGCTGCGCGACCCGGCGCGGCCCTGGGGCAAGGACAACTACTGGATGCTGAACCCCAGCAGCGAATACACCTTCGCCGACGGCGTCTTCCGCCGCCGCCGCAAGCGCCTCAGCCGCGCCGCCCCGCCGCCCGCCCGCCCCGCCGCCGCCGCCGCCGCTCCCCCCCCGCCGCCGCCGCCGCAGGAGGCGGCCGGAGCGGGCTCCGCGTCCCCCGGCGGTTCCCCGCGGTGCTGCTGCGCCTCCTCGCCCTGCAACTGCGCGCCGGGCGCCGTCGCCAAGGAGGCAGCGGCGGGGGGCAGCGCGGCGGCGGCGGCCGCGGGGGAGGGAAGCGGCGGCGCCAAGTTCTCCAGCTCCTTCGCCATCGAGAGCCTCCTCCGGCGGCCGGCGGGGCCCCGCACCGCCCCGCCGCCGCCCGGCCGCCTCCTCTGGCCGGCGCCCCCCGGGCCTCCGCACCTGCTGCCCGGCCCCTACCCGCTGCTCCCCTACCCCCCCGCCGCGCAGCCCGCCCCCCCCGCCGCCGCTGCCCTTTACGGCGGCGGCCTCCTGCAGCTCTGCGCCTACGGGCTGGGCGAGCCGCCGCCGCTGCCGCTGCTGGCGAGCGGGCGGCGAGCGCTGGCCCCGGGCGAGCCGCCGGCGGAGCGGCCGCGGGCGCCGCTCTTCCCCCCAGCCCTCCCCAAAGGCGGGCGGGGGCCGCCGCCCGGCCCCCAGCTCTACGGGCCCCTCCGGCTGCTGCCGGCGGCGGGGGGGTCGGCCCCGTTCCAGCCGTACGCCGTGGAGACCCCCCTGGCTTAATGGCGCCCGCCCCCTCCTCCTCCTCCTCCTCCTCCCCTGCGAGGCGCCTGCCCGGGGAGGGGGGAAGGAGGAGGATCAGGATCCCGCACTTTAACTCCAGAGGCGACCAAAGCCTCCAAGAAAAAGCCTCGGTGACTGTGCCTTAGTGAAATGACAGTGGGTTTAACTTGAACCAAAAAAAAAAAAAAAAAAAAAATCAGAAAGAAAAAAAAAAAAAAACAAAACAAAACAACAAAACAAATGTCGTTTCGGACATAGCCATGAGCCTCAAGTGCTTCTTACTGTTCGTTGAGACTACTTGACTTCAACCATTCCCTCGCCGCCTCCTTTCTATCCCCCCCCCCCTTGTCCCCGCATCTCCCCGCACCAAAGCTTTGGGCGGCGGAGCAGGGGGTGCCCCCGCGGAGAGGCGCGGTGGCGGCAGCCGGGGGGTGCGCTGTGCACTTGGGGGGGGGGGGGGGGGTGCCGGGGAGCTCCTGCCGGGAGGAGCAGGGAGAGAGAGAAAGGGGAAGGGGGGGGGGGGCCGGGGGCTGCTGTGGAGCCGTAGGTCTGTACTGCAAAGCGATGCATCACTGTGCCAAAACAAACCTTTTCTCCTGTCCGGCAACTAGCATTTCGTGGGAAGGGAGGACATTAAATTATTTATAAAAGTAGTGTTTTTAACACAAAGAGAGTGCAGCTTTTTTAATTAATTATTGTTCTTGGGGAGAGGGGGCGGCCGGCCGGGAAAGGGCTCAAGAAAATGTCAGGCGTTGTCCCCTGTACTGGTTGGCGCTGTACATTTAAGGCCAAGACCACTGCTACTGGAAAGAGAAGAGTAATTTTTTTTTTCGTATTTTATTTTTGTGTTTGTATATAATATATGTGCGTGTGCATTTTACTGACGCTCGGCCACCGTGTTTTTTTCCCTTTTTTTTTTTTTTTCTTCCTTTTCCTTTCTCCTCTCCCCCCGAATAAAAGCTGCCCCCTAAATAAAGACGGTGATAAGGTGAAGCGCGTGATGTCTGTGCCGGCGTGGAGGGAGGGGACCCTGCCGTGGGGTGCCCGTGGCCGAGGAGCGCTCGGGCTGCGTGGGCAGCCGGGCTTCTCGCCCTCTCCTCCCCATCCCTGCCGGGGGAGGTGGGGGTAGAGGTGCCGCGGACGGAGCCGCCTTATTTTGACCACGGGAGGTGAACCAAGAGGTTTTCCTCTTGGGCTGCCGCCAGGTTTTGGAAGTCCTTTGCCATTCCTCGAGTCAAATCAGGTTTCCCCGCCGGTGCTCAGCCCTGCAGAAAGGCAGCGGGCAGCCTGCCGAAGTCCTGAGCATCTGCCTGCCTTTTCTTTTATATTTTTAAAATTTTATTTTATTTTTCCTTTTTTTTTTTTTTTTTTTTTTTTTTCTTTTCCCCCCCCGAAGGACAGCAGACGAAATTTAATCCTGTTGTCACCTCTCGCTCCAAAGAAAACTCGACCGGGCTCCAACCGCTTCTAGTGGCGGCAGCCCCGCTGGCGAAACCTCAGCTGGGTGAACGCTATTGAATATTTGCTGGTAATAAAAAAGTTTACACGCGTTGCCTTCTGCCGGCACGTGTTTTGTTAAGGCTGCTTCGTATTGTCAGAAGTGATCCGGCAAGCCTCAGAAAGGCTGAATCGGAAAAAGGAAAGGATGGGGTTTTAACTGCCTGTGGTACTGAATTACAGTTTTAGCGGCGTCTCGGAACTCGGAGAGCTTTAAACAGTTGCCGAAATGGTAATTCGGGGCTTGTTTGTTCGTTTGTTTGTTTTAATTTTTTAAAAAGGGTGAAAACAAGTAGGTTTTCCCCCCCCTCCAAGTCTTCTGTAAGCACAGATCACCTAAACAAACGATGACAAGCAAAATTTTGGGCGCTGCTTGTTTGGGGTGTTTTTGTTTTTTTTTCCCCAATCACCCTTATTTTGGACCCTAGACTTTCTCCCCCACCCCCTTTTCCCTCAGTGCCGGCTTTCAGCCGCTGGATAGCTTCTATCTCACTCGCAAAAATGTTGCCGAATGGCGAAGGTGTGTTGTGAAAGGAAAGCTTCAAACAGAACAATCTGCGGGCGAAAACACCGACTTGTTTCAATAAAGCTCAAGCAGATTTCACGGTGTGTTTAGCTCAGACCATAACATTCATCAGAACATTGCGAGAGATTAGTGACTAATGTATGAAGTAATCCAACCCTTGAAGGAATTGGTTTTTATGTACACACTCGCATGCACATACACACACACACTATTTCGACACCATTCTGCCTTCGAGGCTCTGTGCAAACATTAATCTACCCTTCTATAATCTACCCTTTAGCTTGTACTTTAACATCTCTTTATAGGAGCCCACATGAGCCGTCAGTATGCAACGGCTAATATCTTTTGGTTTTGTCGGGCTGTGATGGTCATATTTCAGGGTATATTAAAAGCACCTTGATGGAAAGTGGGATTTGTTATTACAGCCACAAACGTGTATTTAATCGGATGTACGTAAGCGTGAGCAGAGATGAATGTGTGTGTAAACGTATGCTTAATAGGATGACATTCAGCTTTTTACTTTTAGAAAAGCCCCTTTTTCATTATAAAATAACTCAGCATTAAAAAAAAATACAAAAAACAAACAAACAAAAAAAAACCACAGAGTTCGAGACGTGCCTCCTTAATAAGTATTTATCTTCTCTAAATCTCAATTTTTTTTTTTTTTTTTTTTTTTTGATACGTGGGGAAACCTACGTCAACAGCACAGTGTAAGGGGATACCTGCGTCCCCACGGTCCTTTCCTGGTGCCTGTTGGGATCGTCCCGGCCGGTCGGGGGGACCCGGGGGCAGGCAGGCACGGCGGGGAGGGGGGCTTTCCTTGCTGAAGGGCCGGGTCTTCTCTGCCTCCTCCTGCTTGAGCATCATCCTCTGAAGAGGAGAAAAGGGACGAATTTCCCCTTGGTTGACCTTTTGGGTGGAAATTACCCCAGTCGCGATAGCGCTTAGACCACGCCTGCGTTCCCCAGCAAGCGCGCTGGACCAGCTTGTTCACACGCAACTGAATTTACATGGGGGGGGGGGGGGAGGTTAGGAAGAAATAATTTTTTAAAACCCGTCTGGGTCTCGGCTGTCGTCGTGCCCCGCGTACAGGGCGGAGGGAGCGGGCAGAGAAGGGGGGGGCGGGGGGGGCCGGGACCCGGAGCGGAGCCGGCGGGGGGGGGGGGGCAACCCCGGTGTAGGGCCATAAATCCGGGCTGTCACCGGGCGGTGACAGGCGGCTGGTGAAACACGGCACCTGTCCAAACACTTTCCAGCAGCAGGTAATCAGAGAACCGACACTTTACATTTTTGTGTGGAACAAGCACATTAACCATTCCGAAGACCTTCCCAAAACAGCGACGTTTGCATGTCTGGGTACTTTGTCTTTCTTAACGTCTAATAAATCAGGATGACAGAAGAGAGACAAAGCCTTTCTCCTTTTGATATTTGACACATCAGCAGTAAGCCAATACTTTTGTGCCTTGTTCTTTCAGCTCCACCACTGTCTACATCACCCAGAGATGAGAGTGAGAGATTTTTACATGCCGTACAGGCAAAACCGATGTCAGTGGCACAGAAAGCCAGCCTGGAACGGGGAGCAGAAGAGTCTGTTCACCAGCAGAGATGTAAGAGGATCTGCAAACATCCCATGCTGGTTATTCCAATCCCTCCGTGGTCTCTGCACTGGGTGGAAACCCCAGCCTGAGCAGAATAGCACATGGATTTTGGTTCAGAAGGGATTCTGGTTTTAACTGCATTTGGAAAAAGAAATTTGGCTTTCCAAACAAATACATTTGATTTCTGAGACTTTCTGTTTCATAACTGTTTCGTCTCTTGCAGGTTTCAAATGTCTCACTGTACTTTAAAGAGAGAAAGAAAAAAAAAAAATCATGTCTGACAACCAATATATTTTCAACAAACATTTGTGGGGGGCTTCTCCCCATCCTGCCCCTTCCCTAGACAGTGATAAAATTAGTTAACTGAATAATGTTAATTCTAACCACTTTCCTAAATCTCTTCAAATTCTAACCTACTGAGCAGCAGAACTGCATAAACTCCTCCTTTGTGTATTAAGACCAAAATAATAGAAAGAAGAGGTTTAAAAAGAAGTTTATGCACTTCAGGAATTAATAGCTGCCAAAAACAAACTCACAAAAGAAACAAGCTTGCAAAAATGTTCTGTGGGTAACAGCTCATATGTATTGCATAGATTCCATGCAGCAGGGTAATACAGTAATACTCTGCCTGATCTCCTTTATAGTGGAAGCAAACAGTTTTTACTCTTTTATCTTAGTTGAGACATGTCAGTAGGGCAGCATTTTGATTGTGTTTTTTTCCTATTCGATTAATTAACCCCATTTTTTACCACCCAGATCTGATGAAGCCTGAAGCTTGCTTTCAGCTCTTACACTCCCAATGACCCATAAGGTGGGTTAAATAGCCCTTCAGTACCCCTAAACCTTTCTCAGGAAGAAGTCCACTGAAATCAGTCATTTTATTGACTAGCCATCAGCAGTGCTAGCTGCAATATTCAATTCAACACAGATCTCTAGGGAAATCCCCCAAACAGAACCACAACCCTTGCTACCAACTGAATTTCACACTAGATGCTGAGAGGACTGAAAGAGGATGGATGTCATTTTGACTCAAGACCTCGTCTATTGTTTCTGCCCCTAACTCTTTTTCAAAAAGGGAATTCTTAGGACCGGGGTGTATCAGACACAGAAGACCCTTAACAAAAAGAAATTTCACCCCAGAGAAGCACATAGCAAGGACTCAGATTCATAGGTTCTTTGTATTTCGCACCATGCCTTAAGTAGCCCAAGGTGAAACTGCCTACACAAGAGCAAGGAGAATGACCCCAGCCCCACGTGGAAGGTAGAGCTTCAGAACCAAAGTCCAGATTTTGCATAATTCTTCATCGAGCTGGGGGAGGTGTTTCATTTAATAACATGCAAGAGAGTCCCTTTATTGTGCCAGTCTCTTTGCCTTTTAAGTCTGAAGTAGACAAAAACAAGGTTGAAATTCACCTCCAGCCAAATTCAAGGCACTAAGCTGTGATTTTGTCAAGGGTGCCTGTATCCTGTTGCAACTTTGCCAAGCTCTGCAGTAGCTCTTTAATGATGGGGTGAATATGGTTCCATCTTTCATTTACATCCTGGAGAGGAAACATCTTCCTCTTGAATAAACTCTTCTGTCTTCATTGACACTCTCTGAAGTCTCAGCTTCAGAAAAAGACATCTACGAAGCCCAAGTATCCCATCACAAAATCAGACAAATACCTAGAGTGAGTCTAGTCCTTTCTAAACATCCAAACCTATACTAATGCATCATTATTTGGGTTATATAGATCGCCAGTTTCAGAAAGCTAGCAATTTATGTAGTCTCCAGCCCTGCATAGGAGCTAAACATGGTTATTGCCTCCAGGAAGTTTTACCTCCATAGTTCTGAAGACCAGGCCTACGTCCTCTTTTCCAGAGCCAGAGGGGGTGTGTATGAGGAAGGATTGAGAGTACACATTGTCATAATATTTGTGCTCTTGCACCATGGTATTGTTTTCTTTGTTATGACACGTTTCAAAATTTCAGAGCTCTTTCAAGAAGGATGGCATACTAATAGCCTCCATCGCTATGGGGAAAAGCAATGCTTCTGTGGATTCTTTCCTCTCCTTATTAGCACAGCAGAGAATATTCAAGATGGAGCAATTGTTGTGGTTTAACCCCAGCCAGCAACTAAGCATCACGCAGCTGCTTGCTCACTCCTCCCTCTACCCAGAGGGATGTAGAAGAGAATCAAAGAAAAAAAAAAAAAAAAGATAAAATTAATGGGTTAAGAACAATTTAATAACTAGAATAAAAGATAATAACAGCAATAATAATATAATAACAATAACAATAATGAAAATGAATGTAACAAAAAGAGAGATAAATAAAACCCAAGAAAGACAAGTGATGCACTGTGCAGTTGCTCACTGACCAGTGCCCCAGCA